TATTAATATAATATTTTATTAACACGTCACTTGGCTTAAAATCATTGTCCACTACTCCTTTTAATACAACATAAATATTTCTTACTTCTTAAAAATTACTATTACAATATTATTCTACTGTTCACGATTCCTTAATTTTTTAAAATTTTTCAAAACTATCTTGTATATTATTTACTCAATTAATTTTATTTTTAAAATTAATTTAACGTGTAAATATTCTGATATATTCTCTATTCCCATCATGGTACATCTTTCTTTACTCTAATATTATAATTAGCTTTTTCATTTTGAATTTTACATATAATCGAAATACTTTCGAATTTAAACTAAATTGTAATTATAATTTTTCCCTAAATATAAAAAGATATGTCACTTTACTATTTTATCATAAAACCACTGATATTTTTAATAATTGTTATTTATATATTACATTACCATAAGCAAATGAAACTTTTGTATTTAAATTGTCACTCACTATAATATTTAAATTAAATTATAATTTTGATTCTTCCAAAATGTAAGCAGATACGTTAGTTTACTATTTTATCATTAAATTACTAATATTCTCAATTCAATTAGTGCCGCTAACTTGGAAAGTTTCCTTCCAAGATTCCTAGTTGCTAAACATACGAAAAATAAAACTCAAATTAATTTCATTCATAAAATACCTATCTTAGATAGATGGTCACCTTCATTTATGTAATTTTGCTCAAATTCATTTAGAAATCTCATTGATTAGTTTTTTTTTTTTTAAAAAAATATTTTATCTTTCCATTATGAAATCAAATTTTTATATGGATTTCATTAGATTTTTCCTAATTCTTATTAGGTTTCTGATCTAAAAGTGCCAAATATTTTTTTCTTTTCTAAAGCACCACTTGACTTAATCACAATACTGACTATTCTCCTTTCAACATAATATAAATATAAATATTAATACCCGCGCATGCGAGATCGGTACTAAAGAATGTTAATTATTTTAAACTATGATTTATATTTTAATATATTAATATCACATTAATATAGTTACCACTGTCATCCTACTTCTTAGTACATGATTTTATTAATAAAATATATATGAAATTAAAGAAAAATAAATATTCATCGTATAACTTTTTTTTGTTTTTTATTTTGCTTTATCATAATATCTATTATTTAGTATTATTACTGTATTAATAATATTATATTTTATTAGCACACTTTGCTTAATATCATTATCCACTATTCCTTTTAGTATAGCATAAATATTTCTTACTTCTGATAAATTATTTTTAAAATTTATTTATTGTTCATAATTTTTAGTTTTCCAAATTTATCAATAATATAATTTTTTATTACTTACGTAGTTTATTATATTTATTAAAGTATTGATATCCTCATATTATCTCTATTCCATTATTATATATTTTTCTATTGTAATATTGTACTTAGTTTTCTCCATTTTGAATTTTTCATATAATCAAAATACTTTCGTATTAAAACTAAATTATAATTTTGAATTTTTCCTACAGCTTAACATTTGGAAATCTCGTTGATTAGTTTTAAGGAAAAAAAACATAAGTATTTTATCTTCCCATTATCAATTCAAAATTTTTGTATAGATTCTCATTAGATTTTGTCTTAAAATTTATTTAGATCTTGTCTTAAATTTATTTAGATTTTGTCTTAAAAGCGCCAAGTGTCATATTCTCAATAAACCACTTGGCTGAATCTCATGCTTCACTATCCTCCTTTTAATATAATATATATTTTTTATGTTTTCTTTTTCCTGTAATGGTGGTGCTCGAATCAGTTTGCGGCACCATAACTATTTGAAAATTTTCATTATCATAAATATCTATTAGTAACTCTATCTACCAAAAGTTAGATAGATTCAAAAACCCACCTTTTACTTTTACATTTTTGGTTTGTTTCTATCAGTTTGTGTAAGACAGTTCGATGAGTAGTATGAAATCAATTCAAATTATAATATTATTTCGATTTAATGACCTCCTCATAGGTAGTGTTACCCAATTAAGTTCTTCTGTTAATTAGGTAAGCACAAAATTCGTTCACAAAAATACCTGCAAATAGCTAGATTGTTAAACTAATGACCAAATGATGTAGGAAGTTTAAATTAAGATCATTTCAAGAAAAAAGATCATTTCAAGAATTTTACTCAAAATCATAACAACCCACTCTCTACGACACCTATCAAATTCAATTTTTTCCACTACATCTTACTTGGAGCATGTTTGGTAGAACACAATTTGTACTTTTAGTCTATAATCATAATATATAGTTATTTAATCAAATTATTGTAAGTTAGTTAGAATCCAATCAAACATATATAGTTTATTCTTATAATAATGATAATAAGTGGACTTATTCAATTTATCTCAGCTAACAACATAATTAAATTGCAACGGATGTGTACGAAGTGTTTGTGATTATCATTTCCCACTTTGGTAGCTAGCATTTTTTTTCCCGAATTAATTAAGTTTATAACTTATTTAACAACTTAAGTTCATATATATATATATATATATGGTAGCGACGTGAAATTTGTCTACACAATAACAAGTTATTTAAAAGTCCACGGCAGGTAACTGAATATAGTGATGTGGTTAAAGAAACCAGAAAAGCTTTAAATTATAGTATGCATTAACTCTGTATTAAAGTAGTTTAAGCAATTGTTGCCCATATTATTTTTCAGATCCACCAATTGATCGAACATATTTGCTATGGACAATCACCTGTAATTTATAATTGCTACTAATCACAAAGGGGAACTCAGTCAGTTTTTTCTTATATTAATACTAATCTCCTATATAAAAATACGGTCAAAACAATGGGTGCTTAAGTACACAGTACTTTGTATGTACGTCTGGTAATGCTATTATTACCTTTAACTAACTTAATAGTGTAGAAATTTCTTACATGAAAAAGTATAAAACATTAAACCTAGATATGAAATGAGGATGAATAATTTGCTATAATTGATTTGTGTAACAATCCGTATATGTAACTTTAAATCTTTATTTTAATACAAGTGAAATTCACTTTTGACAATTCAGAACTGACAAGATATATTTTGCGTGGAAACATTTTTTAAGTCCATATAGTTGACCAGATTTTTCTAAAGAAGATGGCTGGCAGACTGGCAATTACTACAGAAATGGATTTGCAAATGCAGTTTCACTTTTTATTTTTAATATGTGTTTTCTACTAACAAATCTTCTTTAATTGTATCAACGACTTCCGATTTCTCCGGTCCGTTTCGTTCTCTCTCTCTCTATATATATATATATATATATATACATATACTTATTACTCGCTCCGTTCCAATTCATGTGAACCTATTTCCTTTTTGGTCCGTTCCAAAAAGAATCACTCCTTTTTAAATTTGAAAAAAAAAGCTTAAACTTACAATTTTACCCTTAATGAAAAGCTTTTATAACCACATAAAGACTCTGGGTCCCTTTTTGATTTGTTTAGGACCACAAATTCCAAAAGTCTTCATTTTTTCTTAAACTCCGTGCCCAGTCAAACAGGTTCACATAAATTGGAACGGAGGGAGTATAATTTTACTGCTTTTCTCAATTTAATCTTTTATACTATTATTGTTTTTTTTATCAAAAGGGAAAACGAAAATACATTATACCAACAAGTTACACTTTTTCATAGTAGTCCCAGTTAGAGCTAATTCCATTCGCTTAAGTTTAAAATTTCTACATTTGTCTACCAATTATTTTGACTTGTTACTTACTAATTTTCTGTTTTTTCCCCTTTAGTTAAAAAATGAAAATGGAAATTCATAATTGGCAAAAATAATCAATTTTGCTAGAGAACGTAGGCAAGCGGTTGCTGAGTAAAATTTCAAATCCACCAGTAAGCGATCATTTGGTTTGCGGATAAAATAATATTGAGGTTATAATGTCGAAATTATATTATTGAAATATAATAATCTCTGGAAATTTTTAGTATTTATTATTTGTTTGGTTCTTGCATTACAAATGAGATATACAATGTAGAATCTAAACACGTCTTCAATTTTAAACTAGATAAATTGGATAAACTTTTATTTCTAATTTTAATCGGTAGAAGAGTGATATCTTACTTGTTTTATCTAGGAATAACTAATATTTGGATTGTTATCCCATAGTGAATTTGATACAAAATTATATCGGTGTTATTTACATCGATAATAAAAACAAAAATTAAAATAACAATGAATTTCATAGCGGAAGTATTTTCAATCCCAATAATCAAACGAGCCTTAAGACTTTTAGGCTAACCTACTTTACTTTGGGTTTGTTGATTTATAAGCAAAAGAGAGATTAAGAGGCAACACTAACAACAATAACATATTTAGTGTAAATTTCACAAGTGGAGTTTGGATAGGATATTATATACACAAGCTTACCCTTACCTTGAGAAGGTAAAGGCTGTTTACAATGGACCATGAGCTCAAGAAAAGATAAAAAAGAAACAGTGGCGACAGACAATAATAACAATAAAATAGCAAAATAGACAAAGCGAAAAAAGAGAAAGAAAAAAAAAGATTAAAAGGACGAAAGGGAAAAAAAAGGGGGGAAGAAAAAGAGCTGCATGGAAATTTCACCTATGATTATTTTAACAAAGAGACTACAATGGAAAATAGCTAACCCCACTCCCAGCGTAGAAACTAATTGCTAAATACTTAGTCGTATTCGATGTTTAAGTTATTCCACGCATTGTAACATTAATATTTAAAAATAAAAATAATTATATCTATTATTAATTATGATTAAAAAGATAAAGATTTGTGATCAAAACACATAATTTACATAATAATTTGGTGTAAACATTAGATGGGAATAAGTTGTTATTGAAAATACCCAATCATAAATTCAAACAAATGCAAAAGGTCAAGGTTATGATTAATTTATTCAACATAGACAAATAAGATACCAGTAGCGTCAAAGTCATCCAAAGAATAAAGAAATAAGCCGACAAAAAAACGCGTAGAAAAGAAAACAATACACAACCAGCAGTTCTCCTATTTTCCTTTTGACCATTTCTTGCATCATTTCTTCTTCTTCCCTCTTCTTCAAACTTCCCTGCAATTACTCTGTTTTCTATCTTCTCCTTTACTTTAGTCAGAACGTGAATAAGGGTGAAGTTACAAAGTGGAAAAGAAGAAGTTTGATGGGTTATAATTCTATCAAGACTTCATTTTTCAGTCTTATGGGAGTCTATACAAGTTATATGCAATGAGAATTATACATTTTCTATGGCTTTTCTTGATACTCTTTTGGCAAATCTTATCAGGTAATGAGATTTTGTTGGTTTCCTCTCAATGTCTTGATGATCAAAAATCATTGTTGCTGCAGTTGAAGGGCAGCCTACAATATGACTCTAGTTTGTCAAACAAATTGGCACGTTGGAACAAGAACACAAGTGACTGTTGCAAATGGGATGGGGTGACGTGTGATAGCTCTGGTCATGTGATTAACTTGGAATTGGATAATGAGGCAATTTCTGGTGGAATTGAGAATTCAAGTGCTCTTTTCAGTCTTCAGTATCTTGAGAAGCTAAATTTGGCTTACAACAGGTTCAATGTTGGTATACCAGTTGGTATAGACAACTTAACGAGCTTGAAGTACCTGAATTTATCGAATGCCGGTTTTGTTGGGCAAATTCCTATGATGTTATCAAGATTAACAAGGCTAGTTACTCTTGATCTCTCAACTCTTTTCCCTGGAATTCAACCTCTAAAACTAGAGAATCCCAATTTGAAACAGTTCATTGAGAATTCAACAGAGCTTAGAGAGCTTTACCTTGATGGTGTTGATCTTTCAGCTCAGAAGAGTGAGTGGTGTCAATCTTTGTCTTCATATTTGCCGAACTTGACAGTCTTGAGCTTGCGTACTTGTCGAATTTCAGGCCCCATTGATGAATCACTTTCCAATCTTCAATTTCTTTCTATCATCCATCTTGACCAGAATAATCTCTCTACCACAGTTCCTGAATATTTTGCCAATTTCACAAACTTGACTACATTGACCATCGGTTCTTGTAATCTTCAGGGAGTATTTCCTGAAAAGATCTTTCAGGTAAAAGCTCTAGAGACTTTAGCCTTGTCAAATAATAAGTTGCTTAGTGGCAGAATTCCAAATTTTCCACTACATGGATCTTTGAGGACGATAATACTAAGCTACACCAACGTTTCTAGTTCATTACCAGAATCCATTTCAAACCTTCATAACTTGTCTAGGTTAGAGCTCTCCAATTGCAGTTTCAGTGGATCAATACCTTCCACAATAGCAAACCTTACCAATCTTGTTTATGTAGATTTCTCCTCGAACAATTTCACTGGTTCTATCCCATATTTCCAACGGTCCAAGAAACTCACCTACTTAGACCTTTCTCGTAATGGTCTAACTGGTCTCGTGTCTTCAGCTCATTTTGAAGGACTCTCAGAGCTTGTCTACATAAATCTAGGGAACAACTTGCTCAACGGGATCCTTCCTGCATATATCTTTGAGCTCCCCTCCTTGCAGCAGCTTTTTCTTAACGGCAATCAATTTGTTGGCCAAGTCAAAGAATTCCGCAATGCATCCTCCTCTCTGCTGGATACTATTGATTTGAGCAACAACCATCTGAATGGATCGATTCCCAAGTCCATATTTGAAGTTAAGAGGCTTAAGGTTCTCTCACTTTTTTCAAACTTCTTTAGTGGGACAGTGCAACTTGACCTGATTGGGAAGCTCAGTAACCTTACAAGACTAGAGCTTTCTTACAATAACTTGACCATTGATACAAGTAGCAGCAATTCAACCTCGTTTACTTTTCCCCAGTTGAGCTTATTGAAACTAGCTTCTTGTCGGTTGCAAAAGTTTCCTGATCTTCAAAATCAGTCAAGGATGATCCACTTAGACCTTTCTGACAACCAAATACGGGGGGCAATACCAAATTGGATTTGGGGAATTGGTGATGGAGCTCTCACTCACCTGAATCTTTCCTTTAATCAGCTGGAGAACGTGGAACAGCCATACAATGTTTCCAGCAATCTTGTAGTCTTTGACTTGCATTCCAACCGTATAAAAGGTGACCTACCAATTCCACCTTCTTTTGCCATCTTTGTGGACTACTCGAACAATAATTTCAGCAATTCTATCCCACGAGATATTGGTGATTTTCTTGCTCTTGCTTCCTTTTTCTCAGTAGCAAATAATGAACTCACCGGAAGAATTCCTGAATCCATATGCAAGGCTAGCTACCTTCAAGTTCTTGATTTGTCTTGCAATGCTTTGAGGGGAAAAATACCACCATGCCTACTAGAAAATAGTACAACTCTTGGAGTGCTGAATCTAGGGAATAATAGACTCAATGGTGTTATACCAAATTCATTTCCAATTCATTGTGCTCTAAAAACTTTAGACCTCAGTAGGAATAGCTTAGAAGGGAAGCTGCCGAAGTCGCTGGCCAACTGTGAGTTGCTGGAGGTCCTGAATGTTGGAAATAACAGACTTGTTGACGGTTTCCCGTGCATGTTGAGTAAATCATACAGTCTGAGAGTCCTAGTCTTGCGCTCCAATCTATTCACTGGGAGTCTTGAGTGTTATCCAACAGGAAATAGCTGGCAAAATCTCCAGATCATAGATATAGCTTCCAACAACTTCACTGGTATGTTGAACGCAGAATGCTTTTCAAATTGGAGAGGAATGATGGTTGAAGATGATTACATCGAGTCAGGACGCCACATCCAGTTTCGGTTCCTCCAACTAAGTAACTTATACTATCAGGACACAGTGACAATAACCATCAAAGGGATGGAGATGGAGCTTGTGAAGATTCTCAGGGTCTTCACATCTATTGATTTCTCTTCAAATAGATTTCAAGGAGTGATTCCAGATACAGTTGGTGATCTTAGCTCACTTTATGTCCTGAACCTGTCACACAATGCACTTGTGGGACCAATTCCAAAATCAATTGGGAAGCTACATATGCTTGGATCACTAGACCTGTCTCAGAACCAGCTGTCTGGTGATATCCCTGCAGAGCTTGCAAATCTCACGTTCCTATCAGTTCTGAACTTGTCATTTAACAAATTGTATGGAAGAATCCCATCGAGTAATCAATTTCAAACATTCTCAGCAATTTCCTTTAAAGGAAACAGAGGCCTATGCGGGTTCCCTCTCAACAACAGTTGCGAAAGCAATGCTCCAGATTTGACACCACCACCAACTTCTCAAGATGACTCTTATGATTGGCAGTTCATATTCACGGGTGTGGGATACGGAGTAGGTGCAGCAATCTCCATTGCACCTCTATTGTTTTATAAGCAAGGGAGAAAATACTGCGACGAACACTTGGAGAGAATGCTTAAACGGATGTTTCCAAGATTTGGGTTCACTTACACCAGATATGACCCTGGGAAGGTTGTGGCAGTGGATCACTTTGAAGATGAGACCCCAGATGACACTGAAGATGAGGACGAGTTCGAAGCTGAAGCATCTCTTGGAAGGTATTGTGTCTTCTGTAGTAAACTAGATTTCCAAAGAAAGATAGCAATACATGATCCAAAATGCACTTGTCATATGTCATCGTCCCCTATTTCTTTTCCTCCTACACCATCCTCTTCCTCTCCTTTATTAGTCATATTACACAAAAAGTTTTGATTTTTAAGCTTCCTCTTTGCACATTTATAATCTGTATATAATTACAGGTAGCACAGGATATTGATTCAAAGCAAATTCAAGTCTCTCTTCAAGTCATTTATTATCTTTTCTGTACAATTCATAATTTGTCCTTAATTTGTCGCATGCCTGGATAAAGTAAAAGGGTTGCAGTAGGTTGACGGAGCGTTTGAAACACTTTAAATATGATAGATTATTTAATTCTTCCAGATGTGTACACCTCGACACACACTATGGACCTGATTAGAGCAAAATAGATACAGAAGGTTTATGAAGCCGACTTCTAATTTGGAATTGAAGTATAGTTGATTGAAGAATGAGATTTATGGCCTTAGTATAATATTCATCCCCTATAACTTCTCCTCCCACACCATCCTCTTCTTCACCTTTATTAGTCATATATCAAAAAAAGTTTTGATTTTTAAGCTTTCTCTCTGCACATTTTGTATTCTGTATTGCAGGTAGCATAGGATATTGAATCAAAGCAAATTCAAGTCTCTCTTCAAGACATTTATTATCTTTAAAGTACAATTGATAATTCATCCTTAATTTGCATGCCGGGATAGAGTAAAAGGGTTGCAGTAGGTTGATGGAGGCAAAAAACAGTTAAACTACGAGAAATCAGTTAATTCGTTCATACATATACACCTAGATAAGATGATAAGAAATGGACCTTGGGCCTAACTCAATCCTAAGAGTTAGTTCATGAGGTGAGCAATGCAAAATCATATGAGGAGACCAATTACACATGGGACTTCTCAAACCGCCGCATCTCCAAGACTGGACATCTGGAGCGTGGACAATATAACATGGGGACCCAACATCAGATAAACAATGAATTAGGATCGGTGTCACTCGAATACTATGATAAGAAATGGACCTTGGTCTTAACTCAACTCCAAAAGTAAAGCTCATAAGGTGAGGATTGTCCAAGATTACCTATACCACCACAGGGACTTCTAAGTTCTAACACACTATGAACTTGAATAGGCCAAATAGATACAAATGATTTATATAGCCGGCTCTAACTAATTCGGGATAGAAACATAGTTGATCTTAATGAAATCTGACGTGCAGTTGATTGGACAGTTGGAATTATGATCTTAGTATAATCTTCATTATGCCTCTTATACTTGCCTCTTTCTATGCCTTTCAGAAATTTCAATATGCCAATTACAGTGGTTCAGGAATTTTATCGAACATCTGAAACTCAGTTTATTCCCATTAAATATTGGGGAAGCAGAACATGGCTAAAAAAAGAAACTCGATAGAAGGGCTATAAACAGAAATGGAAAATTACCTGTGAGTCTGTGACTGTAAGTTCTTTGTCTAAGGGTTCTAAAAAGAATATATGGAAATGGACCAAAATGGAAGCATAATAGTCTATGTTACGCCATGACAGGAGTAGAGCACATTCGTGAATGTTTATGGGCAAAATTATCGATAGTTACCGAAATGGTGCCTAACATTGGCGATCGATTTACCCTTCAAAACCCATTTTGTCTCAACGTTCAATTATTCTCTTTGCCAATGTGAGAAAACCTTTTCAGTAATGATCCTGGACTAATTAACTTATTGATTTAAGATTTTGAATTAAATGCTCAAATTGCTCCACAAAATGTAGAGTCAATTTCTAGTGAGCAATATTCACAATAATTTCCCTTTTTTCATATTCTATAGTATAGAGCTTGTTTGACTTAGCTGATATAAAGTACATGTTAAGCATTAAGTGCTGAAAAGTACTTTTAACTGCTGAAACTGATTTAAAAAATAAGTAGTTATGTGATTGGATAAAAGTGTTGAAACTAATAATAAACAGTATTTGGCAGATAAATGCTGATAAGCACTTTTTTTGCTTACGTGACTTAAATGCCCTTAAAGTTATTTATATTAATAAAAATCTGATTTTTACAAGATTTTGGATACCAAATTAATTCAAGTAAAAAATAATTTATTTCTCTTTTTACTTATACAAATGTAATTAGATACGATTATTTTTTATGAATTTAAATTAATTTATGATAAGCTAAAATACACTCATAAGCTATAATATAATAATTAATATATGTGGCACTTTGCTAAAAACTTATGCATCAAGTACATTAGTTCTTTGCTAAAAACTAATACATCTACCAGGTTCCTTTTAATAACACAGGGCAAATAAAATTTTTAAAATAAAGAAGATTAATTAAGTGAGCGTTTGGACATAAGAATTGTAAAATTCCGAAAAAAGTGAATTTTTTTTTAAATGAAATTGATATTTGAAAATTTGAGTTTTGTTTCGGCCTGAATATAATTTTGGGTTGTTTTTGAATTTTTGTGAGTGATCTGAGTAAAAATTTTGAAAAATAACTTTTTGGAGTTTTTCAAATTTACGAAAAATTTCAAAATTCATTTTGAAGTGAAAATTAGAAATTTTATGGCCAACGGTAAATTCGGGTGCATGATAGACATCGGTACTCCAATGCATTTCTCCGTCTGAATCAGAATAAATATGTTATCGGACCTTCTCTTTAAAATTCAAAATGGATATTCCTACGCGAATCTCAGCAATTACTTGTTCTGATTCTACATATTGGTCGTTTTGAACTAAAAGCAAACTTGGGCGGAATATTTACATTATGTAGAATTCCTTCACTCTCAATAGTTACATACAAGTCTACGGAACATAGAAAGGCGGGATGCCCATGACGTGTACGTGTCGAATGAACCAAATCCTCATTGAATTTGATTTCAAAAAAATTAAAAAAAAAATCGAAGAAAAATAAAAAAAATTCATGGCTAAACAGGCACCAGAAGTTTCTAAACTAGAAAGCTTTCACATGCATTTGACGTATGGAAGAGCTTCAGAAACACGATTGTTTCTTGAGGTTGGCAGCAGAATTGTTGGTTTCGAGAAAAGTATGTGAAAAAGGTAAAAGAATGAAGGTAGGGAGAGGGTTAGGGTTTTATTTATACAAGGGCGTTTTGGAAATTATGAAATAATATTAGGGATAGAGTAATAAAAAATTTTTGGTCAAACGTAAAGTGCTTATAAGCTGAAAAATATAATGACTCGGCCGGTCGTTTCATGAGTTACCGCTGTGTTTTTCCCATTTCTGCTTCTTATTGTCTTTTTCAGCTGTATTGGGTGTTATCGGGTCAGTTGGCTCGGGTCAGAGAGGTATTGGTAAGGTTTGAGACACATAGTCTCTTATGAGAAAGCTTAAGTTGGAAAAGTCAACCGGATATTGACTTATGTGAAATAGGGCTTGGATGTAAATTTCGATGATTCGGATAGCTTCGTGAGGTGATTTGGGACTTAGGAGTGTGATCGGAACGTGTTTTGGAGGTCCGTAGTAGATTTAGGCTTGAATTGGCGAATTTGAAATTTTGGCGTTTTCCGGTTGATAGGTGAGATTTTGATATAGGGGTTGAAATGGAATTCCGAGAGTTGTAGTACGTCCGTTGGGTCGTTTGGATGTGTGTGCAAAATTTCAGGTCATTCGGACGAGGTTTGATAGACTTTTTGATCAAAAGCGGAATTCGGAAGTTTTAGAGTTCTTAGGCTTGAATCCGATGTGTTTTGGTTGATTCGATGTTGTTTGAGGTGTTTTGAAGATTGGTATAAGTTTGGATGGTGGTATATGACTTGTTTGCGCTTTTGGTTGGGGTCCCGGGGGCCTGGGAGTGATTTCAGATGATTGACGGATTTGGAGTTGAGTTTGAGAGCTGAAGCATTTTTGATGTTGTCATAACCGCACTTGCGGTTGGGAGGCCGCAGGTGCGCTGCCCGCAGAAGCGGAAGGCAGCCGCAGATGCGGCCAAGAAGAAGATCAGCTGGAACCGCAGAAGCGTCTAAGGAAGCGCATCTGCGGTAGCGCAGGTGCGAGGAAACAACCGCAGATGCGGAACTTGGACGTTAAGTGAAAACCGCAGATGCGGTGTCTTGGGCTGCAGAAGCGCATTTTGGGCCGCAGGTGCGAAAAACCTGGGCCAGAAGGTATAAAAGAATTTCTTCGCGATTTCTGAGTTGTTCTTCACCATTTGCATGCGGGTTTGAGCTTGGGGGAGCTATTTGAAGAGGGATTTCAAGTGGATTTCATAGAGGTAAGGTTTTTGGACCCTAACCTCGTTCCTATGGTGTTATTTCACTGATTTGGCTTGGAAATTTATGGAAATTAGGGGTTAAAAATTGGAAAACTAGCTTGAGATTGGAGACCTTTGAGCAAGGGTTTGAGGGGCCATTTGTGGTCGGATTTTAATACTCTTGATATGTATGAACTCGTGGGGAGATAAGGAGCCTATTGATGTAAATTTTATCGAATTCCGAGACGGGTTGGGTTGGACCAATTTCGGGGTTTTTGGTATAATTTGATTATTTTTGCATGGGCTTCGTTCCCTTAGCTTGTATGGTGTGTCTTGTGAGGTGTTTACTGATCATCGTAGCCTCCAGCTCTTGTTCAAGCAGAAGGACCTCAGTTTGAGGCAGCGGAGATGGTTGGAATTTCTAAAGGATTATGATATTACTATCTTGTACCATCCGGGGAAGGCCAATGTGGTGGCCGATGCGTTGAGCCGAAAGGCAGTGAGTATGGGGAGTTTGGCATATATTCCAGTTGGGGAGAGACCTCTGGCAGTGGATGTTCAGGCCTTGGCCAATCGGTTCGTGGGGTTGGATATTTCGGAGCCCAAGCCGGGTATTCGCTTGTGTGATTTCTCGGTCTTCCTTATTCGATCGCATCAGAGAGCGCCAGTATGATGATCCTCATTTGCTTGTCCTTAGGGACAGAGTTCAGCACGATGATGCCAGAGATGTGACCATTGGTGATGATGGGGTGTTGAGGATGCAGGGCCGGATATGTGTGCCCAATGTAGATGGGCTTCGGGATTTGATTCTGGAGGAGGCCCATAACTCGCGCTATTCCATTCATCCGGTTGCCGCGAAGATGTATCAGGATCTGAGACAGCACTATTGGTGGCGGAGAATGAAGAAGGACATTGTGGGATTTGTAGCTCGGTGTCTCAATTGTCAACAGGTGAAATATGAGCATCAGAGACCGGGTGGCTTGCTTCAGCGGATGGATATTCCAGAGTGGAACTGGGAGCGGATCACCATGGACGTTGTAGTGGGCTTCCACGGACTTTGAAGAAGTTCGATGCTATTTGGGTGATTGTGGATCGGCTGACCAAGTCCGTGCACTTCATTCCTATGTGTACTACTTATTCTTCAGAGCGGTTGGCAGAGATCTAAATCCGGGAGATTGTTTGTTCGCATGGTGTCCCGGTTTCCATCATTTCAGATAAGGGCACTCAGTTTACTTCACTATTTTGGGGGTCTGTACAACGAGAGTTGTGTACTCAGGTTGAGTTGAGCATAGCTTTTCACCCTCAGACGGACGGGCAGTCCGAGCGCACTATTCAGATTTTGGAGGACATATTGCGCGCTTGTGTCATTGATTTTGGAGGGTCACGGGATTAGTTTCTACCGCTCACAAAGTTTGCTTATTACAATAGTTACCAGTCGAGTAGTTAGATGGCTCCATATGAGGCTTTGTATGGGAGGCAGT